TAACATGAAAGCCAAGCCTGCGCTCAGAGGGGCGCCAGGCGCCTCCGGCGTCGGCTCGGCACTCAGACGCACGCTGGGCGGTGCGCAGGGCAGGGCGGGCAGGCGGTGCACCGGCACGCCCTGCAGCTCAGGAGGCGAGGCGCACGCAATAGAATCGGGCTCGGGTAAGGAGACCCGGGTGCTCGCCGCCCAGGCCTGCAGCCACAGGAGACCACAGCTGCAGTGGAAGGGGTTGTGATAGAGTTGCAGGTGAGACAGCGCGCTCAGGGCGTCGAACGTGCCGGGCTCCAGGGTACGCAGCCGGTTGTTGTTGATGCGCAGAGAGCGCAGGTCCGGCAGCGCGCCGAGTGCATCCCGGGGCAGCGACCCCAGGCGATTGTGGTTCATTTTCAGCAGCTGCAGTGCGCTCAAGTTACGAAGGTCGCTCCAAGGGAAGTTAGATATGAGGTTGTGGCTTAGGTCGAGGTTCTTGAGCTGACTCAGCACTGCCAATGCCCCAGACTCTACGGTGCGCACCTCACTGTGAGCCAGCCACAGCGAAGTGACCTGTGTGACGTTGACGAAGGCTCCCCGCCTTAGCACCGTAATCTTGTTGGCGGACAGACTGAGCGTGGTCACATTGGCTGGCAGTCCTTCTGGGACCTCGCGCAGCTCTTTGTAGGCACAGTCTGCAAACTGGTGCGCGTACTTGTCAATACAGGCGCAAGGCTCAGGACACGCTCTGGCCAGCTCTAGCAAAGCCCAGGCCAAACACAGGGCTCCGAAGGGCCCCATCACGGCTCCTGCAAAGGGAAGTCGAGATGAAGAGGGGTCACTTACGCCACAGCTTTCTTCCCTCCCCTAACAAACTATACCTCCTAAACCTGTATAGGCTCCAGAAATCTTAGGGAAGAAGGGAGCTCAGTAAAAGCCTACAGATTTAATAAATGCTTGCTTTCAGGACCCTGCCTTGCTTCTCCAGAGGGCTTGGAGCATGCTCCCCCACCCACCCACCCAATCTATTCCCTCAGCTGGAGCTGTCCCCTCCAAAGCGTCCAATGCTTGTGGTCTTCAATGAGCCCCCACACTGACCCTTCTTTTTATATCTTCATTGAACCCGGTGAAACGGAGATGCAGAAAGATCCTGGTTCATGACTGAGTGTCTTCTCTGGAATCCTTTGTCCCACGCACAGCACCCGCACACACTTCCTTACAGGCATGGACAGTGCAAACAGAAGCCTGAGCATCTCCCTGCAGCTGCCAACTTACAAGGCCCTGAGACTCTAGCAGGAGGTTCACAAGGAGTTACATAGACACAGGCACCCAGACATCTACACAATATACCCTGGAGACCTCATTGTTCTCTCAACTCAATGCAGCATGGCCACCACCAAGCAAAGCACTTTTCTGCTCACAGTGAGAGCTGACAGATCCAAGGACGCAAGTCCTCACATGAACCAGCCCCCCAACACAGGGACGTTGGCACTACACTGCCCTCCTCTGAGACCAAAACCCAAGCAGATGAGCAATATGGAGAACTTGTGGAGTGTGCTGGGGGATCCGGGGCAGCCTCCACCCACTTATGTCTTCTAGCCTCCCTGCCCTGGGCTGCAGCTCCCCTCAGGGGAGAGTCATAACTGCTTAATTATTCTTCCATCTAGGAAAGAAAACCTCCCCCATGTCTAGACAAAGTATGTTGTGGGGACAGTCACTAAAGATCCCTCTTTGTATTCCACAGAGCCCAGGTGGACCCCTCTGCCCACAGGTTTTTAGGGGGACAAGCCTCTAGCTAATAAATGTGGAGAATGCTCAAGGTTCTATACCTTTCTCCACAACTCCAAGATGCCCGAGTGCACCTCCTATCTCTAGTCACACAAATACTCTAACACAGACCCACCCACCCCCACCCCCGCCGGAACTTGAGACTCTTGTCAGTCTTGACAGAACCCCTCCTATGCCCTGTCTTTGAGATTAGCAGGTCCCTTCTTGCTTTTGCTCCTATGGTAGGCAACTCCCTTCCCTGTTCCTTCCAGACAGCCTCCCAACCCTGGCGAGAGCTCTAGGCTGGACCTACCCTTTAGGTTGAGGTTGCGGAGTCTCCCCACCTTTCCTGCTGCTCTCAGACTTGCACTGTGCCGCCTTCAGGCTGCAAGCCCCTCTCCAGACTCAGATGACAGTCGACCGACCGGAGCTTCTGGCATCTGTTGCTGTGACAGTAGGGAGAAGAGACAGGCATGCGTAAGAACTCCCCCTGGCCCCGAAGTCCTACTTCAATTTTTCCTTTCTTGTCTGTTCGCCCCACTTCTCAATGCTTGCAGGTTGGAGAGTCGTTGCGCGCCCCCGGGATCGACGGGAACGCGCACAGTCTCCCACCTCGTGCCACGCTCACATTTGTTAAAGCCATAGAGATCCCCACCCACCCCAGGCTGAGTCCCGTAGATCTCAAGGGGCTCCATATGCGCACAGCCCCAGGCTCAGCCCTTCCCAGCCCACCGAACCACTATAACCTGTGTCCCCCAACATTTACACACTCGATGACATTGTCACTGTTTCTCGTTATGCCTCCAAACCCCTCCCTAACACGCACAGCCTTTCCACACGACCTTCACAGGTTAGAATTACCCATCAACATGTAATAATCGCATCAACGCGCTGAGTTCTCGCTACCTTCACACACATTTTCACAAGCACACCTTCACTCCAACACTCACCCTTCTCTTTTGCGCGCACACAAATATCCGCGCTCACTCACCCTCACGCGCCCGTCCCGTCAGCGCCCGCGAGCTTTCCCTGCTAATTGAATGCGAGCCGTTCTACGCCCCGCAACACGTGAGACAAACCATCTTTGAGGAATTTATGAGAAAGAAAGGCATAGGACTGGAGGGGCGTGTCTTTGCCTTTAAACACTTTTTTTTTTTCCTTCCCCAAAGCAAGCAGTGGCGCAGAAAGACCTCCAGCGGGACTGGCTGAACTGCGCTGCCTGGCTCCCTCGGACCCTTTTCCTCCCGCCGGCTGCTAGCCTCCCCCCTCCCCGAAGCCACGTTCAACACGATGCATAATTGATAGTGTTAGCAGAGCGCCTCACCCTCCCTGTCATTTTTGCCTGGATCTGGGTAGACACAAACCCTGGTTCCCCTCCACCCCCAATCCGCACCAGACTAACTAGATGAGAAGGCACAACCCTGCAGGGCGCGCAGGGAAGAGACTCCCACCTCCCAAGCCCATCGCAGACCTTGCCCAGCCTCTTTAACCGGAACTCCACCGCCAGGTCTTTTGTGGCAAATCCAGTGCGTGCGTTCCACTGCCCGTGGGCTAGCGAGTGCTCACCGTGGGGGTTGGTGTCCTCTGAGCTCCTAGAACACTAGGTTGAACTCATCCAAGTGTCTCACTCTGCACTTGCTTGCTGCAGGCTAATAGGGCACTGAGGTTGCCACCGACAGTGGCGACAGGGACCGGGATGGTTACTAAAACGTCTGGTCCTCTTGAGTACTGTGGACTAGGGACTTAAGACCGCGGAGCATTTCCTGTACCCCACTACCTAGTATCCTTTCAGCATCTCTAGCAAGCATACCATCAATCCCTGCATGCTGGTACACACACACACACACACACACACACACACACACACACACACACACACTTCTGATAAAACCTAGGCAGCAACCACCACCCTGCCATCTCACACCCTCATGTAACAGCTGGCCTCAGCAGACTCTCGGACTCACTGTTCTCTTTGGCAAACACTGGGCATTTCTTTTAGAGACAAGCAGGAGGATTTGAAGAGCATCAAGGCTTTTGGCTAAAACTCATCAACTCACTCCCCTGCCTCTGGCATCCCAGAAGACAGAGCTGCTAGCCGGAACTGGTAAGGGGGCATAGGTTTTTGAGATGTGTAGACTCCCCACCTCTTGCTATTTCTGTAAACACTGTAATCCTGGGGTGTTCGTGGCCCCCCAGCCCTCACGAGAGTCAGTCTTTGGGTCGATGGCAGTGTGTTTGGGGCCTCTTCGGAAATCAATGCCCCGATTTGAGTGTTAAGCATTTTAATGAGCTGAGGAGGGGTGATGGAGGGAGGTGCAGAAAGAACACAGCATCTAAAGGGACCACCCAGCTGGGCTTCTGAGGCTGCTTTGTAAATTAAATATGAACATACTGGTGTGTGCACACTTTGGTCCCTCCCTTTCCTACTCCTGGCTGCAGACCGCTGGGACCAGCACAATCTCAGCCAAGTTCGGAATCTAGAACTTCATCACACCTGCTCAGGCCTGGAAACCCCACAGATGGATGCAGGAAGAGGGTGACTAGGCAGTCCAGGGAAGATGTCTTTGAGAGGGCAGAGAGATGAAAACTCGGGCTCCTCCCTGCCTGGGACTCTGCACGTGAGACAGTCCAGAGGAAGGCTCTAACCTGAGCCAAGGCCTCAGAGGTTTGGAACAGCCGGCCTGGCAACGACTTCTTTGTCTGCAAAGCAAGGGGGATGCCCTGTTGTATTATTGTTCACGTTCTAGCAACCTTGAGAGGGTTGCCTTGCACGGCTGTGTGGCAGCGGAGGGACTAAGACTGTGCTCTGGGATGGCGAGTCCTGGGGGCTTTCCTGGTCTGGGGAGAGGAAGACGCAAGGCGTGGACGCACCACTCATCCGATTTTCACTTCTATTCAGCTCTTTTTGAGTTTGGAGGGAACGCAAGCCGGCGGAGGGATAACTTGGAAGGAGCAAGGGGCCCGAGAGCTGGAAGAGAGAATGGGCTCATGAGCTCTCCCTCAGGACTTCCTTGGACGACAAGGACGTGCCCACCCAAAGTCCGTGTAAGCTCTGGGAACTCTGGTTTTCTTTCCCGAAGAGGCGCTGAAGCCAGGGGACTCGCTGTGGAAAGGGCGATTCCAGCACCCTCAGGATAGCTTAAGGGCGTGGCAACCACGGTGACTGGGATGCTGATCCCGTGGACCCCGGCTTCCCACCCACTCTCCCGCAAAAATGCTTCTGTTGCCCGATTTTGCACCGGAGAGAAGACACCCCTTACCCCGTCTTCAACCCCGAAGAACCTAGTGCGGATCCGGACAAGGCTGGAGCGGGAGTCGCCTCTAGCCAGCGTCGGCGGGGTCTAGGATGGGAGCTGCAATTCCTGGTTGAACCACTGAGCTCGGCTAGAAGACGGCACACAGAGCTCTGGCGCCGCCCAGAATTGCCGTCTGTAGCTTGTAATGTTAATAATGATACAGTGACCTAGGGAAGGAGAGCCCGGGCCTAGAAACAACTCCCACCTCACACCCCTGCTATGTCTTTGATCTTTAAAGGAACAGGTATTTAATCAGGTGAGTGCCGCAGGAGTGAAAGAAAGGAGCGACACAAAGTTGCCAAACTCGAAAGCAGAGGGCTCCAGATTTAGAATCTGCCCAGTTCAGGCACAAGCTTTTTACCAAGCTGCAGTCCGGACCCTAGATAGACGCAAAGGCTGAGAGCTGAAGGCCCTGGACTGCTTTGCGGATTGACCTTTAACTTTGAGTGCCCAGATGGTCCAGACGGTGGGGCGCTGAAACCGGAAGGCTCCACGGACTAGCTCCCAGCGCTAGGTCCGCAATAATCTGGGGTCCAACCCTGGTCCCCGCGCGCCCCCTGCTGGATACTGCAGGAAGCAGGGGCAGGGCAGTGGCTTTTGAAGGGTTGATGTGGGCCTGGGCACCAAGGAGGGCTCTGCCTGGGGCTTTTCGGTGCTGTTGGGCAATGTTGTAGTGGGTCGCACTTAACCAAAACCCTGAAGTTTTCTCTCAGTGCCCCCAGCCTGCGCCCCATGGAAACACAACCGGCCCTCCTTATTTTAACACAGATTTGGCCAGTTCATGGCCCACTGGGTTCCCAATGCCCAGAATCCAACACTGCATCATTCTGGTGGTGCGAATAAAGCGGTGAGTGTAGTCGCATTGGGAAGAAAGCTTCCAGCACACCCCTCTTGCAGTGCTGTCCCTGCCTCTCATTTACTTTGCCACAGGCCTCTAAAATGTCTCTGAGTTGACAAAGGAAACTCGTTGGCCTTAAGTGGGGCAGGAATGGGGGAAGAAAACTGAAGTAATAGATGTTTGATTAAACGTTTAGGACAGGTAATGTGTGCATAATTCTGCAACAACTGCTCAGCACCAGATCTCATTACAATGCACCCTTGTGTTTTAATGTGGCTCGTGGGTGATTTAATGGACTTGCCAAGGTGTGTGGGAAGGGCTTCCAAGAACAAGGAAGCCAGGGCATCAAACATTCAAACATCCCCGGCATACCAGCCCGCTCCAGAGACCTTCCCCACAGCTGCCCTCCAGCTAAAAGCTCTGGAACACACTGCCTCACACTTTACAGTGTCTGCAAGTTAACAAGTTCAGAGAGAGAGAGAGAGAGAGATTCCAGCAAGCATTTCTGTTTTCCTTTCCTAATTTCCATCAGAAAGGTCACTCCTGGGGAAGCCAGGCCCTGTTTCTACACCACCATTCTCTTCCCAGCACCAGACTCCGTCATACATCAGCTATGGTATCCTGGTTGAACCTCTCTGTGTCTCTACGAAATAAAGGGCAGACAGGTACCAGAGAGATGGCTCAGTGGTTAAGAGCACTAGCTGCTCTTGCAGAGGATCAGGGTTGGACTCCCAGCACCCACATGGCAGCTTACAACCATCTGTAACTCTAGTTCCAAGGGATTCAACATCCTTTCTGGCCTCCCCAGGTACGAGACATAGATGTGGTGTACAGGCATATACATGCAGGCACTCACCCTGAGTCAGGAAATAAAAATAAATAAACATTTAGAAAGAACATGAATGAGAGAACAGGTTTCCCTGTGAGGATTAAATGAGCCAAGACACTGCAAAGGACTCAGTCGTGGCACTTGGTGCTTGGTGAAGCAGGTATTTTTTTGTCTTCATCAATAGCTGGGAGAATCAGCCACTATTGCTGTTTAAAGACTTGGGTCTAGATATGATGAACACGCAGCTACATGCACTCCTGATGCTTATGTCTTGCTTATCCCACAGGGAGAAGAGCTTGGCTCTGCCCCTAGCCATCTTTCTTCACCACCTGTCCCCTCTGTACAGAGTCAGAATTACCCGTTATTATTTGTACAGGTTTTTGGTTTCACATCCTTAGCAGATTGTGATGCATGTGGCTGTCACCAGTGTGCCTGCCTGGGAAGAGAGACTTGCCACTACAGAATCAGCAGAAGGTTTTTAATTAAAACCACACTCTCTTTAAGTATTTATTGAGCTCCGGGACTTTAATTATTTTCTAGAGAAAAACAAAGGAGAGTCTACATTTGTGTATGAGAAGACTGTTGATTTCTGAGGAAAATGCAACCTGTGGCAGGTAGCTGGAGGCAGTGGGGAGGGATTTCCGGAGTGATTCAAATGAAGACTGACATTATTAACAAACCCAGATCTAGCCCACGACCTTCCTCCCGGTGCTTTCATTAAATTAGCTCAACATGCTGGCAAGACCATTTATGGCCATAAAAATTAACGATGGCTCTTCTGGCAGTAGCTCATGTAATTTGTCTGGGTATGCATTTGTACTGCCGATTCTGGGGGCTCCTTCCTGGGAGAGGCAGCACTTGCCATGCAAGGTGCAGCATGTCTAGCTGCCCCACTCCACCAATGCAGAACTGGCTTCCCCGCTCCCCCCTCCCCAAAGAGGGCCTGAAGTGGCCAGCCTCCTCATGGCAGGACTCAATTGATCAGGAGTCAGGGAAGGAAGGAGGGGAGGGGTGATGGAGGAGGGTGGTCCAGCAGTGAAAGGTGTTTACCACTGAGGGAGAGGACCTGAGCCTCAGGACCCACGTGACGGAAGGGCAGAATGCATTCCTGTAAGCTATCCCCTTACTTCTACATGCACCACTGTGATTAGTGTGGGCATGCACATATACACAAAGAAAAAACTTAAAAATTAAAGAATTTAAGGGCTGGAGAGATGTCTCCGATTTTAAGAGTAGGACCTGAGTCCAATTCCCAGCACCCACATTGGACAGCTCACAACCACCTGAAACTCCAGCTCCAGGGAGATCTCAGGCCTTTGGCCTCTTCAGGGTACCATGACTCATGTGCACAACCCCACACATAGATAGACATGCATACATGTAATTAAGATAAATCTTCTTAAAAGAGATCGGGGGCAGGATGATGTTGGGGGAGGGGTGTTGCGCAAGATCCATTTTGCTAACGGTAAAAGTCACCTCAAAGGACAGAGACCAGTAACTGTGTCCTCTTCCAAAGCAGGAGGCAAAGCTGGCCTCAGGGTTGGTTAACTCTGTGCCTCTGCCACATGAGTAGTCCCTCCCCCACAGCTCTTGACCCCCGGTTCTTTTCTCTTCTCTTATCCTTGATAGGATAGATAACTGGCTGTGCTCACTGAAGTTGGTAGAGGATTTCAACAGCAGCTCGATGATATGTTTACCATTAACAGGCTGGTGCTCAGCTTAAGTTGTAGGTTGTGACCTCATATGGGGTCATAAAACTGAATGTGTGAGTAGTGAAAACTTTGGCAACAGTAAGAGGCTTCTGAACGTGCAAGGATCAAAATTACTTCAGAATAAACCTCTACCGGATGAAGTATTTCTAGGGGGTGCTTGCCCGTGTTGTAGCTGGTAACTTCACTGAAGGCTTCGTTCTAAATACACAGCATGAGTACTCTGCTCTGTGCAAGCCGTTATGACACTCAACATGAACAAAAGCCACCGGAAACACCTTCGCTCACGTTGAGGACTGTTGGATGTTATGAACTGCAGAGATTTTACTGTTCGTACAAATTTTTCTGTTCTTATAGAAACATAATGTTTTAATCACAGAAGAAAAAGACAATATTTTTCTATAATCACTTCTCAGTGTATAAGGATTAAATTAGTGTATCTTTAAATTGCATTAGATTAGAATATTTGATTCCTAAGATTGTTGTTTGAATTTCTAACTTGAGCGGCATTAAGAGAAATGTTACATGAATTTTGGTTCAGGATTAAGGCAGCCCTTCTAACAATTTGGAAAATGGCCCTCAATATACTTCAACCATCAGTATTGTGAATTAATCAAAGTGATATTCTCAGCATTGGTTGATTATAAATCAAAATGCCAATCAACTCTGAAAAACACTGAAGATACTCTATTATCTGTGGTGTCAAATATTTGGCCAAGATTGAACTTTTTATGTAAAAATGAACATGCACCCTCATCTCATCTGCATGAAAGTTAATTAGCTTCCATTTTAATAAATTATATATATATCAAAGAATTATTTTAAGAAAATTTCTTTCTAGTTTGCTATCAGAATGATGCTTGATTTATACATCATCATATATACCTAGACACAAAAAATTTTTGAGGGGTGAAAAAGGGTCATAGTTTCAGAAGACCCGGGCTAGTGGATAGAGGACTGATTTTCTGTCCCAAAGTCGTGCCTTTCTTTGGATCCTATTGTCACACAATAGTTTAGGATGTCCCATCTCTAAAACAATCCCTGGCCAAGAAAATGAAGTGATTAGCTTAGAATAATCTAGTCTTGAGTCAATCCCAAATTTCCCCACAAGCAGGATACCCTTTCATTAGAAGAGCTGGAGATTTGTGAGTTCAGAGTAACCTAAGATTATGGCAGAATGAATTGCAGTGGCTGATTATAGCTGTAATGAACTAGAGTCAGTATTTATGTGGAGATGAGGTTGGTCTGTCCATGATCTGTGTCCAGCAGTAGGGCTCAAGTAGGGGTCCAGATCAGGATCAGGGCAGGGTAGTGTGTGTAACCAGGTTTGGGGAACTCTCTTTGCTGGGCATATAAATAAGAGGATCCTCTGCTTTCACAGAATTCCTGAAAGGATGGGAGTCTGTTCTTGGAAATGCCTGTGCTGGGATCCAAAGCTATTTTGGTAGCAGCAGACGTTGTATATTTATGAGCAGGGTATGTTTATGAGCTCAAAGATGTTCCTGCATGACTTTACATCCTGAGCTTGTCACCCGTCCATGGCAGAGAAAAGAGGCATTACACCATTGGGTGACAAACAGGAGGAAGAACGCACCAGTGGTCACAAGAAGAACCTGGAGGAAGCAGAAAACCGTGAAGATATCACTGGGTTTGGAGCTCACGGCTTGCCGCTACTGGCCCATTCTTTTATCAGTTTGGCTGGTTCTGTTTTTGTTTGAGAAAGTCTCATGCAGTCCAGGCTGGCTGTAGTGGTTTGAATGAGATGCCCCCCTAAGTCTCAGGTATTTGATTACCACCCTGTTGGTGGCTATTTGGGGAAGAATTAGGAGGTGTGACCTTACTGGAGGAAGTTTGTCACTGGGGGCCATGCTTTGAGGTTTCAAAAGACTCACATCATCTCCAGTGCTTTCTCTGTTCCTGCTTGCACTTCAAGGTGTGAGCTCTTGGCTTCTGCTTCTTCCTCTGCTGCCTCCAGTCCTCACCATGGATCCTAACTGTCAGAATAAACCTTGAACAAACTCTACCAGACCTTGACCAACGAACTTCCTGTTCCCCGTAAGGCTTGCTGAAATCACCCACCCCTTGGTTGAAAATACAGCCGTTTTCCCCGCACTGCCATGCCTAACTCAGTTACCCACTATCACCCACATCCTGATAGCCAGGGCAAGGCAGTTTCTAGAGATAAATTGGCCTTGTCTGGATGCAGGAAGTAGAGACCGCAGATTCGAACATGGCTCCCTGAAGCTGCATTTAACTTCCCATTCACAAAACCTCCTATGTAAACTCCAAGTGTCCCCTCCCCACTTCACAGGCAACCCTTTTCTCGTAAGAAAGTGTCTGCCTCTCACTGTTTGAAAGAAATTCTCCTCTGTGAGGTCAGACCCAGGGTCTCTTTCTGCTGCTTCAGAAATCTAAATACAAACCCCTTTGGAACCTTGCTTATGGTGTTTTTTTTTATCACAGATAGAAAAGTAACTAAGACTCTGGCCTCCAATTTTATAGTAAGTTAAGGGTGATCTTGGATTTCTGATCCTCTTCCCGTTGCCTCCTGTGGGGCCGGAATTATGCTTGGTTAGGCAGGTGCTAGGGATCAAACTTGGAACTTTGAGCCTGCAAGGCATCCACCTACCACCTGAGCTCCACCCCCAGCCCCTGCTCTTCTGCTCTTGTTAGGAGTAACGGAGAGCCTCGGTTGTAAAAATAGGATTCTTACGAAGTTACAGCAGGCCCTGCTCCAAACTGCTGTCAGTGGGCAGAAAGGACTCTTTCTTTTCCCTGAGATAGCCTATCTATGTCCCAAGACAGCCTGTCTCATCTCGATGGAGTGGACAATGGCAGGAGAAATAATGCTTGCATAGAGTCCCAGTGGCTGCATCTAAGGTCCCATTACCCAAACTTCCTACATAAACTCCAAGCGTCCCCTACCCTCTACAGGCACCTCTTTCCCACAGAAGAGTGTCTGCCCTTCACTGGTTTGAAATAAACGGTCTCTTTTGTTCAGGTTTCTTTTCTACCCTCTGTCTCCTTATGCTACCTCAGGAATCTACCAAGGAGGATGGATTAGATGCACCCCAGGTCCTCAAGTGCCACCATGACTGAGATCTGGTTTTACAAGTGCTGCCGCTGTAGGAGCAGCTGGTTTTCAGGTTGAGCTGGACTTCCTAGTGGCAGGCTGTCATTGGAAGGAGGTTGTCCTGAGCAAGGCCGTAATCACCAATCCCTTCCCCCATGTCCTTGGCAATGCCAGCAATTCCCCTGCCTCCTTATCACAGCCCACTATCATCTCAAGGTCATCTGAACACTTGGGTCCTGGGAGCTAATTCCTTCCCCCAAATACTCCCAAGGGTAGGCCCTCTGCTCGGGAGACTCTGCACAGATGAAGCTTCTCTACGGGAGAGGGAAGCTGCCTTCTTCAGGTCCCCACTACTCTCCTCCAGAGTTCAAGAGCACCAAGACCAGAGCCATGACCACTGTTGGAGATCTACTGGGGGACCTAATATCAAGGTGGACCACAGAGGAGCACCTGCAGTCAGGCTGCTGGCTGGGTTGAGATGTGGTGTGAAGGAAGGAAAGTCTTCTTGGAGGAGGGTGGGCATGTTACAGACCATCCCAGTTCTGCAGCCAGGCCAGGTGAGCTCCAGTGGTCACACCCTGGGGACAGCCAGGCATAGTTCACCCACTGGGGAAGGTCCGGGCTTGAACTTACTTCCTACTGAACTCCTGTGAGGCTTTGGGAAAATCAGTCTCCCTTCTGGGCTTCAGTTTCCCCTCCTGTGCTAAGGATTCCTCCTACCTGTTGACCTGAACGGACTTTCTCCTTCCTTGGGTCAGTCCTTACAAAATCCAAGCTGAGGAGAGTCCCCTGGCCTAGTCCCTCCCCAGGAGACAATGCAGCCCCCAGGCACAGCCCACTCTCGAATGCCCCAAATAAGCTCTGCTGGGAAGACAGCAAAGGGCTGGGAAGGGGGAGCTCGTGTGTAGCTATCGGGCGAGCATGTGTGCCTCATCTCCCTTGGTCCTTATCTCCAGACCCAGCTGCAAACTGGATGTATTTATTAGCTCTGATGTGTGTGAGGGGGCGGGGCTCCATCCAACCCACAAGTCTGCCAGCACTGTGAGAAAGTGACCTTCCTGCAGATGGCTGTCTACTAGCCAGGTGGGGGCCAGAGGGAGGCGAGGACTGCTATAAATCCCTTCAGCCTGCCACCAAGGGGGTGACCCCATCAGGGTAGAGGACATTGTCGAGGGGACTTGGAAAAGTGGGGATAGAACCACCTAGATTCTAAATGGACTGGGATCAGGAAAGAGGGGGCAATAAGGAGGGAAGAGAGGGGCTAAAGGAGTGGAAAGGGGGGGTGGGGGGGCAAAAGCCTGTTCTGGGAGTCAGCATGCAGGCTTCTCTATTGAGGAGGGAGGTGGGTGTCTCATTGTGTTGTGGTGCTGATTCACTAAAGGTTAGCATTTGTTTAATCCTTAGGAGTTATGCAGTACTTCTTATCACCCTTAATTTGCATACAAGGAGCACAGTTTTAGACAATCAGACAGACGACTCCATTTCGTACTGGTCTTACCACACTGGTCTGACTGACTGGGTTTTGGAAATTTTTTTGTGGTTAGCTAGCTGGCTTTTGTAAGCAGCCTGGCTATCGGGTAGGGGATATTTATAACATGTATGAACTGCATTGTACTCCAGGCAGATGGTCTTGGAGAGAATTCCTTTGAGCTGAGTTTAAGGAAGTTCCTTGAGCCAAGACTGAAGGAATTTTTTCCCCTCATTTGACAACAAACACATTTTGTACAGTTGGATAGGGACTTCCAAACTCTGTGTGTGTGTGTGTGTGTGTGTGTGTGTGTGTGTGTGTGTGTGTGTGTGTGTGAGAGAGAGAGAGAGAGAGAGAGAGAGAGAGAGAGAGAGAGAGAGAGAGAGAGAGAGAGAAAATGATGGGGAGAATGAGTGGACATTTTAGACCTCTCCACAGTCATCTTCTTCACTTAGGCCCAGTGGGTCTGGAGCTGACACATGGATTCAGTCACAAAAGCAAAGGGTAGTCCTGCCTACCATTCCCTGAGCCCCAGGCTCAGCATGGCCCTTGTGTAGGAATTTGCTGAGGGGGAATGTGTCCTAGAGGTGGAATGTGCCCTAGAGCTCTCACCCATCTCTTCTTTCACTTCTCTCCAGATGTCTCCACCCCCACAGAAGGCTCGGCACTCCCATGACCACTTCTTACCTGCGCTGTAACTGGAGATGGGGCCTCTCCAGAAACTGCACACCCTTAACAGGGGAGGGAAACTGGTCCCTGGTGGACGGCTGACAGCCTTACAGAAATCCTCCCTGTGATTTCTGACTGTCCAAACAGCTAGCTGCTCTCCCTGAGTGCAGCTGTCTATGAAAGAAAACACTCCTTTTGGAGGTCGCCAATCTGAAAGGTCCTAGAGAAGGCACAGCACAATGTGCATTCAAACTTCAGCTGCAGGGACGTGAAAATAGGCCAAAAATTATCTTAAGAGATTCCTTAGGGGGTGGCAGTAATGAAACAGAAAGAGGTTGAGAGACACTGCCCTAAAATTTTTAAAAATTAAAATTAGGATAAACTTGAGCATTGGGACCAGAAGGTTGAAGGAGACAGGAGCTTCAGAGGACCTGTACTTCTCATCACCTGAGATTGGACAATCAGGAAGCCACTAAAGGAGACAGGTAGCCTTTGCGGGGGGTGGGGGGGTTACAAATGATGCTGGTCTGGGCTTGGGCTCCCTGTGAGGGTCAATTCTACTTCTGCCATATGCAAGAGAGCCGATCTTGAACAAGATATTGGCCTTGCTGTTCCCGGTGTTCACTGACAGGATGAAGACAAAGGTGTAATGTAGATGGAAGGAGGCAAAGAAGCTACAGCTACGTGTGCTCCGTGGCTAAGGTGTGTCCGGCGCGCAGTCTCCCTCCTGCTATGAAAGCTGGGAGACTACACACCTGGATGTCCTGGGCTCCCGCCCCTAGTGAGATCTGCACATGCCTGGGTCCCTCCCATGATTGGTGGGACTTGGCCCCACTGGGGTTCAGTGAGCTGCAGTAGAGGCCCATCTAATCGCTTCTAAAAGATGATCCCAGGAAGGGATCCAGCATGCACTGGGGTGCCATGGTAGCAGGTGTTTCTCCGAAGCTCCAAGGACTTCTTGGTTGCTAAAATCACACAGATCAACTCTGCTGCTAACTGGATTCCCAAACCTCATTCCAAATGTGAACCTTCGTCTGATCTACAGCTAGCTGAACTCACACCCGCTAACCTGGCTCGGCTCTCACTCTCCCATGGTCTTCATCCTAATCTCACCGATTATCCAATGTTTCCCAAACTGAGACCACACGCTTCCACATTCACAGGCTTGCCTTGCCTGTGTCCCTGCTGGGTTTATAGTTACTTAGTATTGATGATAAGTAGACCTTTAAAGAATTCCATGTTAGTGTTATTCTGAGTGACGGTTACCTCAGAAATCAGCAAGACTGGCAATATTGTTTCTGATGTGTTCACATATAAAAAGCTCAACATTTGAAAAATTGTTTTCCGTGGGTCAGCTGCCTAAAGCTGTCTCCTGTAGTCCTAGAAGAATACACAGCACACTACCAAGGGTTGGTATAGTTTAAGTCTAGGATACCAACCCCAGGAGTGCTGTGCACAATGGTCCGCCCAACAGCAACCTCTGGCCAGGCGGTGGGCTGTGGCGCCCTCTGCTGACAGAATCTGGGAGTGGTGCAGCTTGGCTCCTCTTCTTCCTGGGCTGGTTCAGCGTCCTGACCTAACGGTCAGTGTACCACACACTACACTAACTAGCTGTTCCACTCTCTTGATGGAGAATAAAGACACAATGTGAAACAGGAATGCTGAATTCAGAGGAGCTGGACAACCCTGGTGTGTGGTGGGCAGGGAGTCTCAGATCTAAGGGGCTGCTGAGAGGGGCTAGACCAAGTTTAGGCATTGAAGGTAGGGTGGAGTAGGGTCCAGGGTGGCAGAACAGCAGGCACCTGGGTAGCATTTGGGTGTTTTGTGCAGGTTGGAGAAACATGGTTGGGGCCGGGCCAAAGCAGACTTTCAAGAAACATTCACAAGGGTATGAGCTAGCTAGCCTTTGGTTCCCCAAAGAGGGGCTGAGGCGGAGATGATCGAAGTAGCTTCAGGAAGCCTGCTCTCTATTCCAGGTCCTTCTCCCACTGGGTGTGTCATGAACACAGAGCCAACTACTGCTTAGAGGCTACAAGGTGGCGCCTGACTCTTATCGGCTCCCAGAGACCTAGGCCCCCCTCCCCCAACACAGTGTGTATTAATAGTATCACTTTGCTAAGATTTGCTGTTGGTTTTCTTATAAAGTGGTAAGTCTCATCTTATTTGTGTGTGTGTGTGTGTGTGTGTGTGTGTGTGTGTGTGTGTGCGCGCGCGCGCGCGTGTGTTTGTGTGCGTGTGAAATAAGACCCTAACATCAGAAAGCTGATCTTCTCATTGATTCTAGCAAAGATCTCATGATGTAAAAATTTAATACATATTATCTCATTTATAAAGGAGCTGCCTGGGAACCAGGGCATCAACAGTACCAGATCAGGGCCACAGGCTACCGAGAACTGAATTCCAGTGCCCAAACTTGTAGCCCAATAAGGTCTTGGTTGTTGCTGCTGGTGGTGGTAGGGCAGATCTTGACAGAATTTTAAAATGTAGCACATACAGCATATTTAAACTTTGATAATTTTTTGGTCAAAGGGTCAAACTGAGAGACTAAAACTCTAGGAGTGGAACTTGGGCAGCTGGGGCAGCAAGTGGGTATAATGATGATGTTGTTGAATAAGCCTGTCACCTGGCTGTTCATCCAGCCAAGGAGCACTAGAGTGGTGTGCACCGAAGCCTCAGACGTTCTACGTTAAGTTCCATCCAGGATATCAAAGACACTGTATGAACACACTGCCCATGTCCTACGCTGCCCCTCAATTCCAGTTTATAGGATTTTATTGCCTGCTCCAGGAACTTGAAACGAGGAGAGGCCCCAGAAGCAAAGCACATGCATGTCTTTGGCCCCCACCTCGCTCTAGGAGGTAATTATCAAAGTTGGTGCCTCTGACCTTTGGGAATCATTCTGAGGAAAGTCCACCTGCTTCTCCCTACTTGAAGTAGAGGATTCATGTCCTTAATGCCTTTAGCTCTGAACAAGGGGATGCTCAGCTCTGCCAGACTCGGAAAGACTTCCCCCAGAGTCAAGTTGGGCAATTTCCTGCTCACCCATGCTTGGGAGAGCCTCTTGTCTCCATGAAGGAGGGGGCTTGATGGCCCCTCTAGGAAAGGAAGGCTGAGTAGAGTTTGTGATTTCAAGATTTCAAGATTCACATATCTACCAGGCAGTGGTGGTGCACAACTTTAATCCCAGCACTTGGGGGGTAGGGACAGGTGGATCTCTGTGAGTTTGAGGCCAGCCTAGTCTACAGAGCGAGTTCCAGGACAGCCAGAGCTACACAGAGAAACACTGTCTTGGAAAAAAAAAATCACATATTTACTAAGGGCTGTAACAGCAGCTAGGGCAGGGCTTTCCTTCTTTCCTCGGTCATAAATCCATGATCTGCTGCAACTGAAGACAGCGGTCTGGTGGGGCTGAGACTCAGTGGGCCCTGTTTCCTTCAGGGATAGGCTGAGGACGAGGTATGACACATGGCCCCAGTACCGCCTTGCCCTGTACAGCCAGGCTAGGGTCTCAGCCTCTTTTCCTTTCCCGTCCTCACCCCACCCAGAACCAGAGCTCTAATGGTTGGCTGTCAGGGTCCAGCCTCACTGTGGTAGGAATGAGCTTCTGTAGAATGCCTTAGAACATCAGGACACCCGTAGGATGGGTCTCCACATGAAAGTGGAGACCACCAACCTGTCAAGACTGGACCTCTGGGCTACCTGGGAAATACCCTGGGAGCAGGAAGCGGGGAATGGGTCAGGGTGAGAATGTGGACAACACCAGCCGCAGTTCAGCTAACCACAGGAGACAGCTGACCTTCAAGATGATCACAAGGTTGGGGACCAAAGGCTTGGCATGAGAGCTAGGGTCCAAGGGTGAGGATGCTTATCTGCTGCTCCAGCAAGCTGCTGTCCATGCCTGAAAGCCCACAATGACTGAGCTGGCTGGGGACTCTGAGTTAATAATGCAAGTCAGCCAGAACCAGAACCCACTTCACAGAACACTGGAGCTCTGGTCTTTTCCTAATCATATTCAATAAACACAGCCCAGGGGCTTTCTCTACTTCTCTTTGAGGGGGAGGTGGCCTGTGACAGCAGTGATGCTCAGAACTGAGCATACGGCATCACCTGGAGAACCTGTTAATGCTGCAGGCCCTACTCCAGAAGGCCTGATTCTAGGGACCTCGAGTAAAGCCCACAGGTTCACCTTCCCAAGCTCTCGACGCAAGTGCCCCACTGGGTGTCCCTTGGAAGGGCTGAGTGCAAGGAGGGGTTAGGTGGCCTGATGAACTAAGAACCAAGTTGGAAGGGTCAGTCTGTAGAAACAGGGTTACAAATGGATGGAGCAACAGCTTCTACCTCTCTCTGCTGCTAGAAGGCCCCTTTGGAATGAAAGTGCTTTTAAAAAAAAAAAAAAAAAGTGAACACAGTTGGCCTCTGGACAGTGGGAGCTGGGAGAACCCAAATTCATGAAGGGCAGTTTGGTTTGAAAGGCACTTTGGGTGCCCATGGGGCTGCTGGTATAGTGATAAGCATTACCTTAGAGCAGTGGTTCTCAACCTGTGGGTCGCCATCATGGGAAACCGTGTATTTCCGATGGTCTTAGGAATTGAGACACTGCTCGGGGGCAAAATTACAGTTATGGTTGGGGGTTCCTAAGACCATCATAAATACGTGTTTTCCAATGGTGGCAACCCACAGGTTGAGAACCTCTGCCTTAGGGTGTTATCTGTGGGGTCTATCAGCAGATCGCTTGGGACACTGAGCATTAGGGAAGAGCTGCAAGACCACCCGTGGTAGTGGTAGGTGAGGTGACTGGGGCCATGTGAAAACCAATCAGAGCGCCCAGAGGCCATGCCTTCTTTACTCAAGTCTTCTTCTAAAGGGAGGGGCTAGGTCTGCCGTGCCTTTGGTGTCTGCTGCGGGAATTTTAGAGAAAGAGCGTTTGGTCCCAGATAAAGGGCACCTATTCTGAACTAAGTAACAGTTCCGTATGGGAGACCATTACCCGGGAATGTGGTGAAGGGTGGGGCCCGGCTCAGGGATGCCCCTCCTTCTGTGGCCACCAGCTAAGCCCTTCCTTTCAGCTCTGCTGGGAGGCCTTTTTGGCCAAGCTCTGGCGAGAGAGAGGAGTAGAGCTGCCTTCTGACCTGGCCGGGGCATGCCTTTCCAACAGTCCTTCTAGGTAGGTGCTCAGAGCCTGAAGGTATTGAGTAAGTTGGACGGAAGCCGATGAGGTCTGCAGGCTCAGATAGTGGCCATACTGTTTCAGGCCCTCTTGCCGGTTGCTGCGGTATGCCGTCATCAATTCTAGGAAGCTCACGTTGTGAAGAGCCAAGAGGCGGGCCTCAGGCAGGGGCAGCACACTTGCCTGAACTAGGGGCTGCAGGGAGGCGAAACACTGCAAGTTACTGAAGGGGTAGACATGCTGGACCAGCTGTGGTCCTGGAGAGATCTCTAGGAGACAGCACAAGTCTCGCATGGCCAGCACGGCCGCCAGGGCACTCTGCTCACTCATGTTTCTTGCCAGGTAGGTCTTGGCCAGGTTTCTGAGTTTGAAGCTGCTGGCACCGGGGATGCGTTCCTGGATGAGAGGCAACACAGCCAGGAAACCGGAGATGGCGTCCTGGAATTCCCACAGCTTGTCAATATCCTCCAGGGCCTTGAAGAAGATGGGGAGGCCAGGCCCCCACAGCTTAGAGCAGGCCAAGATGGGACGGTGCATGGAGGTGAGGAAGCGGAGGAAGTGCTGCAGTCCGACCTCCAGGGAGACGGCCTTAGAGTAGACACTGAAGGCCCCGGGCTGGATGAGCACTCGGAACTTGCTTTCCCGATTCACGGCTGCCAGTTGGCTAATTTTCTGGGCTAGGCAGGAAAGAAGGGCAGGGTGAGCTTCCACGGTTCAGGAGGCACTGGGGTGGGTGCAAGGGGTCAGGCTGCTGACTCACTATCTAGAGAGCCCACCTTAAGGCCTGCTGGCAGAAACGAAATATCCTCCATGAGTAGCTCTTGCCTGGCTCTGATGGGAGAGGGGTCAGGGGGCTCACTTGTCGGGAAGATGGCTCTCCCTATCCCTCCTGCCCTAGAGTTTGCCCAACCCTAAGAACTCTTCCCCTTTTGTATTTTCTCAGCCTCTACCTCCTCCAGAGACCCCCAGAATGTTTCTTCTGGGCCTTCTAATCTCCTGCTCCTACCTCCAACCCCATCAGTCCCAGCTGGATCACAGCCCAGGGCTGCAGACAGTAGAAATGGCCTATGTACCCTATAAAGGTATGGCCCAGAGTCTCCTCCTGAAGCCTACAGATGGCTTTTTTGTGCTACACAAATACCCGATGCTTCTGGCTGGTAGGCTAGCCCCAATGGCAGGGCCCATAACTGGTTGGCCATGGCAAAGGGTCAGAGCTGAGGGACCAGGACAAGGATGACATCGAGGAAGAAAAGGGTCTTCCAGGAGGAGGAGTCACAACTCTCTGCGTCCTAGGTTCTGCAGGCCTCCCTGTGTATCCATTTGTGGGGTGGACCCTGTTTTGGGAAATGTGCGCTCAAAGCCAAAGGTCAAGTGCGGATTACTTGCCAGCCATGAGCTCACACACTGTTCCCAGCCTCTCTGTCTTGTCAGAAATGAACCTGTGGCGTTACAGGTCTCCCTCCCATGCTCAGGTTCCACTTCAGGCCGACATGGCAACACCAGGCATCCCAGGTGGGGTCAGGGTCCTCTGTCCACCTGGCTGCCAGGGCCCGCCAGTGCTAAGAGCTGCTGGAGCCTTACAGGTGTCTCTACCTGAACTCTTCCTGGGGACTCAGAGACTAAAATAAAAAGAGACGATGTAGCTCTTGGGGAACCCACTTTCATTGTCAATCTTGAGGTCAAAGAAAACCAGGGGCCTGTCTTCTGCTTGGGGGTCAGCGAGGCTCTCGTCCAATGCCCTGAGGGAATTGGGGCCCTCCAGCTGGAGGCCACTGGACTCACTGCTGCTATCTTCCAGCTCGTGGGAAGGCTGCAACACAAAAAAAGCCAATAGGTCAGGAGTTCAGAGGCCTGGAGGTCCAGGAGAGACGAGTCTGCGCTCTGGAGCAAGTATGCACACACACACAGGAAGATGTAGGAATGTCACCAAGCTGGCACAGTCGGAGCGTCTTTGTGCACCAGAGGGTAGATTAGTGGGGATGCACAAATGCGTGTGCAGGTGTGAAACGGGTCACACATGTGAGCCAGGGCACACACCTTAGGAAGGGATGTGTGAATGGGTAAGACCATACAGGTGAGCATGAGTATGCACAGGTGTGGGGAGGCATGCATAAGGGATATGAACCTATGAACAGTGTTGACACAAGATTGTGAAAGTGTGAGATGGGGTGGGGTGGGTGGGACAAGCTATGCCTGCTTGTGGAGGCTCAGGGAAGGGGCCAACAGCTTGGTGTGCAAGGCCTGAGACATGTGCTCCTAAGTTCATCTCCGAGCAGACTCAAAAGAAACAAAAGGCACAAACAGGAACAGGAGATAGGAGCTTCATCCGAGATCCCAGGTGATTCTTGGGGAGGGGGAGGAGTCTGGCTTTCCTCAAAACCAGACTGTCCCATGGGGTCTTGTAGTATCGGGAAGGAAAGGGCTGCTTGGCCTCTTGGAGTCCACGTCTAGGTGGACACACATTCCCTGGCTGGGAGAGGGTCTGGGAGGGAGCAGCTGAGAGCCTCAGATCCTGGAGACTTCAGCTCTCCACATCCGTACCTCAGCTGCACAGAGGAGCCTTCCGGGACCCACGGCAGGTTTGCTATGAGGTTCGGCTCCCCAGCATCAAGGTTGTCCTTGCTGGAACACCTGGCCGCAAGGATGGGAAGAGCTCTTTCTACCTCTGAGATTTTCCCAAGGAGCTGGGGCTACAGATAGGATAGAGTCTCTGAGGACAATATACAAAGTCACTTAACGGCACAGATGGTTAGTGTCCTAGGAATGCCATGTTTGGACACTAGTCAGGGCCAGTGTCTCTGGGACAGAGCCCATATAAGGCTCCAGGTCTGTCTTCTTACAGACTGCTCTGGTAGTCAATGGAGTCAGCACCTGGGGCTGAGGACTCAGTTCACTGTGGCCTCCAGCTGATAGACAGCTAGCACAACTGCTGTCCTGGTGGTTGTTGTTTTTGTTAACTTGACCCAAGCTAGAGTTATCTGAGAAGGGGGAACTACGGTTGGGGAAATGCCTCCATAAGATTGCGCTTAGGCAACCTGTGGGGCACTTTCTTAATTAGTGATTGATATGGGAGGGCAAAGCCCACTGTGGGTGGTGCCACCCCCTGGGCAGGTGGTCCTGAGGTGTATAAGAAAGCAGACTGAGCAAGCCAAGAGGAGTAAGCCAGTAAGTAGCACTCCTGCATGGATTCTGCATCAGTTGCTGCCGTGAGTTCCTGCCCTGACTTCCCTGATGATAGACCACAAGCTGTATCCTGAAATAAACCCTTTCCTGCCCAAGTCATTTTTTGGTCATGGTGTTTACCACCCACCTTTCTGAAACACTTGCTTTCCACAAACCTTCAGCCAAGAGAAGTCATATTGCTCACTAGAAAGCTAGCCAGGGCTGGGCTTTCCTATAGAAGGCCGCTTTTCACTCAACTTACATTTTGCAGTCCTGTGCTGGGCACCCCAACTTCTTCCCAGCCTGCCTTGCACCCAGAGACCCCACATGGCTTGCCTTCCCTGTGAGGACCTTTCTGGAGGCATTCTCCTAGTTACTAGCCGAGAGCAGTAGACTCAGTCCTCTTCCCCGTGGAAGAATCCGGTCATTTTCTGTCTGTGGCTTCCGGGGTCTGTTCCTCTACTTGGGGTTTCTGTCTGTAGGCCCCAGTGTCTATCCTCCCATGTGGACTGGGGGGCAGAGGGGAGCTGAGCCACCCTGGCCATGGCCTTCCCCAGTCTGGGAACGTTCACTCTTGCCAGCCACTGAAGAGCAGGCTCACTCGCCCAGTCCGTTCTGCTACCACTGACATGACAGACGAGCTTCATCTTCCTGGGTCTTCTTCTAGCTTCAAATGTCACTTCAAAAGCCCCTTTGTGGCCCCAGGTGCTTCCACCTGACTCCCGGCAATGACTTCCACGTCCTTCTGACGATGTCCCTTCAAGGCCTCGAAGGCAATTTTCCAGAGCAGGACATCTGGAGTGCCACACAACTGGACCTTCCGGTTAGCGCCTTCATCTTCACACCACATGGCAGGAAGCCTCATTTCTATATCTGCCTTCTCTGAGGGAACCTGTGAGTGTCTCATTAACAAGACGCCTCTTCCCTTTTCTCTGCGCCTCAACCAGAGAGAGGAAAGGCTGGGTCTGTCTTTTAGCCTGGACACAGGCCTTCCTGCCCCATCTCTGAGAACTGCTATGCAGGATGGCGGAGGCCGGTCTCACTGGAACACGGTCTACTTGAGCTAGGCATCTGTAAACTCCTGATTTTCTTTTTCTCTTACCTCCCAAACCAGCCTAGCACGAGTGGACCATTTAAGCAAGATGTTTCTAAAGGAGAGCCTACAGGGAGGCCACAGAGCATCTGGCACTGGAGTCTTTCCCTCCTGGCTCAGCAAGGGAGCCTCTGGTCACGCCCACAGCCCTCTCTCCTCCATCTTAGTCCAAAAACCAGGACAGGGTGTGAAGGACAGTAGACAGACAGACAGACAGAGAGATGCTGGTGGGGGAAAGGGAAGTGGAGGCAGAAGGGAATAGGGTTGAGAAAATAGAGGTCGGCCCAGGGGTGAGAACAGCAAAGGGAAGGGCAAAGTACTCTGAGAAACTGTGGAGTGATGAGGAGAGCCCAAGGGACGGGATGAGGGCTTAAGTGCCACTGTGGACTATAAGCTCTCCTCCCCCTGTTCCCTGACAGAGGCAAGAGCCGGCCTTTCCTGTCCCTCCTGTATCACAGCCACTGTGTAAATGTCACTTTCTTTAAAACAGATGAGCATTCCTCTCACCCAGATGCTTAAGTGAATCCCCCAAATCAGTGGTGCTTGACTTTGGCCAGGCCTGAGTGGCATAAAAAGCTCTGGAAGTCCAGGCTGCACAGGGAAGGATTCAATTAGAATCTGCAGGGGTGGTACACAACAATCTGCAATTGCTTAAACTCCTCCGTGCACAGCCAGGCTTGAGAACCCCTGGACTACATAAGGGTTCATTCCATGTTTGATCACCAACTGAACAGACACAAGCCAAATCCTTTGGGAAGCCAGCATTCAGCTTCGAGGAGCCATCTAGTACCTTCCATCAATGCTCAGTGAGAATTGTGATCCTGAGGAACTTTCTCAGCACTAAAGCTCCAGCTACACCTGGGCTCAGTTTAGCAAGACTCAGGCATCTCTGGGGTTTGCAGGCACCAACTCCTAGCTCTTGCAGTCTTGAAGGCCTTGGAGGCACAACGAAGATACATGGAGTCCAGGCCACCTACCTGACTGCTACGACCCTTCTCCAGGCAGCTCTGCTCTTAGGCAAACCCTTCCCACCTTCTCAGCCAAGCACCCGACTCCTGTTCTCTGATATGAGTGCGCATCAGTATCATGACTGCATCTCTGCACCGGCTGCTGTCCATGGGCCTCCCTTCCTCTGCCAGCCATCATTGCTGCGTCTATCACAGGCTGCTCCCTTAGCTGGACCCCTTCCTGCCTGGTCCTTCTGCTGCCAAGGTGTCTCATCATCTGCCACAAATATGGGTGAGAACACCTACCTCTTCTGCTGTGACTCCTCAAACAGTGGCCCTGGCTAAGTGCAGGACTCGCCCACCTTTCCAGGGTTTAAGCAACAGTTCTCATCCCATGGACTCTACAAGAGACTAGGACTTGCTTTCTGCTCCAAAACTGTGACCGAGCTCTTCCAATGCATTCCGCCTTGTTTAGTCTCTCCCCCTCAGACAGAGCTGCAGGTCAAGCTAGGCCTACCCCAACTGGCTCACTAGGAAAAGGTGCCACTTCAACAGGCCAATACTATAGAACAGCCCCTCACTGCAAGGCAGAACAAAGGCCCCACAGCGAGGATATGTGGCTGGGTAGCCTGGAACACTGTCCTCCCTCCAAGCTGCAGAGTGGGGATTTGTGGGAAGGTATGCTGTAGTGCCTCAGGGGTTTGGGAGGGTCCTAGAAGGTGAGAGCAAAATGCATGGGAGGATCTAGTTTATTTTGTAAGTTGGGGACTCCTGTAATGGTTAGTTTTTACATATATACACAAAAGCAGTGGACTCTTCTCTTCTGCTCCCCAGGCCTGCTCTGCAGTGAGCAATGCCTTCTCCCTGGTCGCCTCTTCCTAACCTGAAATGTATATCTCCCTTGGTGGCCCTGGTACCCCCAATGATGGTGGAGTTGGATCCCCTCTTCCTCTTCCCATCTGCTACGCTGCTTGTGGCATCTGCTGAGCTGAACCCTGCACTCTGTCCAGGGAAACTGCTGGGTTACTTCTCTCCACTGTTCCTTCTTCCTAGGTTCCCACCTCCATCCACCGGCAGTAGCTTGAACTTTATCAAAGACGATGAGCTAGAAAGAAATGTCCAGGTACCAGAAGAATACAAGCCATGGAAAGGCAAGGATCAAATTTTGGCTGGAGGTGAGAAATAATTAAAAGGGGTCTCCTGGGCTCTCAGCTTGTGTACCTAGGCAGATGGCAGAGTGATAGCGTGAGAGGAGAGAAAGAGAATGTGTGAGGTACATAGGGGGACATCTAGGCAGAGCTGGCGGAAGGCCCTGACATTCTGGTGTGGCAGGCAGGAGCAAGTGTGGGCATCAGCTCTCTCTGGACAACAACTGGTCAGAGTGGGCTGCACAGAGTATAGTGGAAAGAATGCCCCGAGTCAATGCCAGAATGCTAACCTTTGCAAGAGCAAGGAGGCCTAGAATGGAGCGCCCAGAGATGCAAAGAGAAAACAGACTTCTGGGAAGAGGCCAACCCAGTCACGAATGCCATGGGCCGTCTGGGACCACCGTGCTGAGAGGCCTGGGCCTCCCCTGGTGCTGACGGGTAGGGTTTGCAGGCAGGGTGGGGAGGTTCGGAACGTGAGATGAGGAGCGGTGTGAAGCACAGGCCAAGGGAGAAGCAGGGAGTGGACAGAGAGAGACTGGCCAGAAGGCAGCGGATGAATCAAAAGACACAGGCCGATGAGCATGAGGTAGAATGAGGCTTCCCACAGGGCAGGGGCTGGGCTAGCTGGGCTAGCTGGGCCAGGACACAGGTGTGGGTCTTAGAGGCAAGCCAACTTCCAGGCAGAAGGGCAGCAACAGGCAAATCTGTAATTAGGTAGCAGATGCCCACGATTCCCACACTGTCCAAAGGGTTTCTGTTTCCTCCCAGGAGCAAAAGGTACAGTCAACAGGTAAGAGGGGAAAACCAGGAGGAGGCCCAGAGAAGTGTCCCTAGGGAGCCAAATGAAAGCAGGAGGGTGTGACCAGAAGTCCTTTGCTCTTTGCCTTCCTGTGTGGCTTTTCTCCAGCTTGTCTCCAGGGGGCAGCAGAGAGTCAACAGGGCCCTGAATCTGTGGTTGTTTCTGCCAGCAAGTCTCCAAGAGAGAATGATTGAAACATCTCAGCTGGAGGGAGGTGATGGCAGGTTTGAGGGCTGGAGGAACATGAGGCGGTGGTCTGAGTCAGGACAGTCCATTCAGAGGTGGTGTCAAGGAACGCAGTGTGGCCATGTCACTGCTGGGCAGCTGAAGTGGCTGGCCGAAGATCCTTCGGAGACCAAGGAGCGTAGGACAGATGGCGGGTATTGAAATCAACCAGGAAGAAAGCAAGACATGAGGGGGGAGAAGAAATGTGGGGGGGGCAAATGGTCCTATCGTCCCTCCATGAGAGGGGAGGTGGGCAGGTGTCCGAGACAGACTGGGGAGATAAGGTTAGTTACGCCCTAAGAGCCACCTCAAAGCCACCAGGTGATGAGCTGTACAGGCCTTGTCCTGCTTCCCACTTTGGACGCTCATAAGTGTGGAAGGAAGAGAGCCATGTTCTCCCCCAGAGAGGAGCTAGGTTCCATGCAGGATAGAAGACAAACAGGCCTCCAGGAAAGATCCTACCCGGGATCTGATGGCTGTGGAATAAGGGTTCACAACGGAGATCATTTAACAAGTATTTATTGAGCAGTCACACCTGCCAGGCCTTGGGATGGATAGTCTCTGCATGCATCGGCAGGGGTATCTGGCCACAAGACTGCAGACAGTGTCATGGGGTGGCAAGCAGCCACGGAGGAGGGAAGAACTCAGGTTCTCAGAGGCCTGTCTGATAGAGGGCCTAGGCCTGGACTGGTAGGGATGAGGCCTCTTGGGTGGCTAAGGGGGTGGTAATGAAATTTCAAAGACTTCAAGGGAGGCCTTGAACTTGGGGATTCTCCGCGGTGGCTTTGTTAGAATCTCTGGGGGAACCTGCTACCTGTGTACTACCCATGGAAAAAGCATTAGGCTGAGAAGCAAGGGTGAAAAACTAAGTTGCAAAGCCACTGGTGAAAATCGGGGGGGGGGGGGGCGGGAGAGCCCCCGAAGGCTCTGTGCATCCAGCAGAGTGTGCTGATGCCCCTCTGTAGGTAGGCCATCAACAGGATGCCTGGGAAGCCCTATGGTGGCAGGGGTGGTGGCCTGAGCTACCAGAGGAGGCCTGTGTCGGGGCATAATATCACCGGGGGATATAGGCTACCAAGGGTGTGATGAAGGCAGGTGGCTCTCCTTGCTTTGTGTGAGAAAATGCAGATCTGACAGAGGACAGCAGGATGCTTCTGGCAAGTGGTAGGCTGGCCGGAAGACTCGGTGTCAGAGCCGGCAGCTTGCTCAGTGGGATGATGGGAAGACCAAGCTGGTGGCTGGCAGGTGCCTTGAGGTAGACTGCAGGCCCTGCTGGAGTGGGAGGTCCAATGTGGGTGGGAGGCTCTTCGGGTGCTCAGCAGGGAGGAGTGGGTTGGCGAAGAGAGTGTTGCAGTGGTATCCGGTGGCTCTGTATATTTTCCAATACAGAATCTCAGACTGTGGCTGGAAAGAACCTTGGGGACCCCTGATCTAACCTTTCTCCCTACTCAGGCTCTGTTTCCCCCGGACGCTTAAGAGTCTAGCTTCTAATAACATACCTCCAGGTACAGAAGAGTCACTGATTTCACTATAAGATGCCTTTAAAGAAGTTTTCTAATACGAAGTAAAATCTTGCATGTAGCTCCTGTGGTGGTTTGAATGAGAATGTTCCCCATAAGCTCAAATGTTTGAATACTTGGACCCCAGTTGGTGGAACTGTTTGGGAAGGATTAAGAGGTGTGGCCTTGTTGGAGGAGGTGTGTTACTGGGAATGGGCTTTGAGGTTTCAAAAGCCCTTGTCATTCCAGTCAGTAGCGCTCTCTGTAATTTGTGCTTGTGGATCAGATGTGAGCTCTCAATGACTGCTCCAGCACCACACCTGCCTGACTCTTTCTACTATAAGATGCCTTTGTCATGGTGTCTCTTCCCAGCAATAGAAAAGTAAATAAGTCACTCCTGCCCATTATTTGTTACCCATGGACACATTCTATCCATCACTAGCCTTCATTGATTGATTTTGTCATTGTTTTGTTTGTTTGTTTTTCAGACAGGATCTCTCTACATATCCCTGGGTGTCCTGGAACTCACTACATGGACCAGGCCAGCCTTCAATTCACAGGGATCCATACCTGCCTCTGCCTCCCAAAATTCTGGGATTAAAGGCAGAAACTACTACACCTGGTTCAGTGTTTAACCAGAGAACGCACTCTTGTTCAGTTCTCCTCATGGAGAACTTAGCAGATAGAAAATATATAAGGAAGTTCTAGACAAGGGCTTTGGATATTCCAGAGGACAGCCAGGCCCTGGAGGACGCAGTCTAGCAAGCATTTCAGAGGCATTCTTGCCTGGTGCAGTGAGGGGGCTAGGGTGTAATAAGCATGCAGCTGGTACTTGCAAACTCTCCTTGGTACAGTTTAGGCTTTGACTGCCTCACTAGAAAGTTCCCCAGGTGCCAGATGAGCCCCAGAGTGTGGGCTCTTGCTGTGGCTGCAGCCTTTGGGGCCTTAAATGAGGGGAGGCAGGAGTCCTAGGCCGAACTCCGAGTTACTCACCAGATTCTCGGTATCTGAGTCTTCCGAGCTGCTGATCACCACAATTCGCTCTTCTGAAATGGAGAAGGGGTGGTGGCATTAAATCCTTCCTGAGATATCCACTGGCTAGGGTGAGAGACCCAGGAGAGTTCTTGTAAGCCAATGGACTGAGGGTGGCAGATGCCCTGTCCTGTGTGCATCAGGAGGAGATAGAGTGTATATACCTCCAAGTAATAGTGCTTGGCACTGGCCGAGTTTTGGAGGAAAGGAGTCAGAACTAGGGCATAGCCCCTCAGGTGTCCCACACTGGAATCACAGCAAAGTATAGTGTAAACTACCCCCACCATACTCAATGGCAGCTCAGAGCAATGTGTGCATGGGAATCCTGGTGGCTTTGAGCGCCTAGGTGGGATCAGAATGTGGGGTGGGGGCTGGGGGTGTTCCAGATATCTGAGGACAGCATGAGGGTCTTACCCAAGTGCCAGCTTGCCTAATCTCCTTACCTGTTTTCTCTGTGTCGCTGGTAACATGGTTGCTGGTGGGCGGGGGGGTCTCCTTTTCTCGGATGGGGCTCTCAGGGCTGGATGGCCCATCCAGATGGGGAGGAGAGATGGCCCTGGAAGTGCTGGGCCTGGGCTGCTCAGGGGAGCTAGAGATCAACCTGTTCTCATCCTCCTCTGTGGACTCCATCTTGATGATCTTCCTGCGGCAATCGCTATGGCAGCACTTCCTCTTCATGGGGGTGATTGTCTGAGAGACCTCCTGCACAGTGGGGAGTTACGGGGTGACTCAGGTGTCTCTAGGGTTGCTGGGCTGAGGACCCTGAGCTGTGTGCCAGGGGCTTGTGGCATGGTTTTTCTCCTGTTCCTTTGGCCAGGCTGACCATGTCTCTGCAAACAGGAAGCTCTCTCGGGTTGCCATGCACACTGGTCATGACCGCTGACCAACAACATCTCTGTTGGCCTCACAGCTTTGGCCGTCTCAGCCTCCCAGCTGGGCTGAGACTGGCTCAAGCTTATTGGGAACTTCCTGGGGGAGCATCCCAGAGCAATGGAGACTACAGAGTCCATGCTGAGCAAATAAAGACCTCAGGAAGGCCCCCGATTCTCATCCGGCTATGCCTCAATGCTGGTTGGAGTCTGAGCCTTTCCGATGAGGCGGGGCTGGGTAGGGGGACTTACCTCTCGATAGGTGGAGCCTTCTTTCATAGAGAAAGCATATACTGGCACAGGGTGGGCTCCAGGCACTGACTGCACCACAGCCACAGGTGGGGTCTTAGACAGCCTCAGGGCCTGAGCCTGGGTCCTCTGCACTTCACTGGGCTGTAAAATCAGGTAACAAGAAAGTCAGAAGTGACCAGGGACCCTGGGCCTAACAACCTGCCTCGGTTGTAAGCTTCTTGGTCCCAATCAGATTGTTCACTGGGACAAGTAGTTCTCTCCAAACCCTCCATGAGGGCACTTGCTTCTGACCTTGGGTTGCTGGTACCCAGGCACCACTTCAGTTTCCTGACAGGGTAAGAAGATACCTCAGGGACCACAGAGCCCAACTCCTCAGAAGAAGCCTGACAAATAGCCTCGCTTGCTCACCTCTAGAGACAAGCTGGTGAAAGCAGCACCTGCCTCAGCAGCGAGAGAGTTCCAGCAGTGAGAAAATCTGAGCCCAGCCTCCTGTGAGCTTGCCTCTACCCCTGAGTCTTAACTCTGTCCAGCAGCTGCTACATATTGGAATTACTTAAAAACTCACTAGGCCTCAGTCTCCTTCCAAAAAAGTGGGATAATAACATTTGTTTCATATGACAATACAGATGAAATGTGCCAAACATCTTCAGCATATCTAAAAGAGTATGCAGTACTTACAGAGTCCCATTAGTGGGCGTGATGAGGAGGGCTAATGAATATAATACTGGTTTTATTACTATTCCATGTCAGACTTGGTGCTCAGTGTTTTGTGTATCTATATCAAAATGAAGCAGGGGCGGTCCCCCAAAAAGTGAAAAAGGAGCTGGAGAGATGGCTCAGAGGTTAAGAGCACTGGCTACTCTTGCAAAGGACCCAGGTTCGGTGCCCAGCACCCACGTGGCAAGCTCCCACTCATCTGTAACCCCAGTTTTAGGGGATTTGACATTCTCCTCTGGCCCCCGAAGGCACTGCACACACATGGTACACTTATGGGCAGGCAAAACACTTATACACATAAAATAAAAATAAATAAATCTTTTTTAAAAAATGAAAGAATTTCCACATGACTTACCCATTCCACTCCTAGGCACTGTCCCTAAAGGACTAAAGGTGGGCATTCAAACGCAAACTTCCACATGGGGCTGAGCAGGCAGCTCAGTGGTAAAGCACCTGCCCACCCTGTGCCGAGCCCCAGATCCAATCCTCAGAACAGGAGCCAAAGGTTTAAACATCGTATCTTTTTCTTTGCAGCTCCGCCATTGCTGGCCTACAAAAGCCTCTCTCCTTCTACTCAGGCCAGGAACTCTGGAGGGCAAGGCTGGGTGCCTCTCCTTCTGTTCCCTCAACACTCCACTCACCAGCATTAAAGAAGCAGAAGACAGTAAGAAGACAGTAACTGATTTATAGTTGTCTTAGAACAGCAGTTCTCAGCATGTGGGTCATGGCCCCTTTGGGGTTTGAATGGCCCTTTCACAGGGGTTGTCTAAGCGCATTGGAAAAACACAGCTATTTACATTATGATTCATAACAGGAGCAAAATTACAGTTATGAAGTAGCAATGAAAATAATTTTATGGTTGGGGGTCACCACACCATGAGGAAGCGTGTTAAAGGGTCGCAGCTTTAGGAAGGTTGAGGACCACTGGGTTAGAGTTTAAAAATCATAAATACATTCTCTGCTGAGGCAGTGCTGTGAGGGCCAGAGCTGAATCTCCTAACAGGACTGACGACGCAGTCACATTACCCTGAGATAGGTCTGTGCCTGCCTCCGGTGACCTTTGCACCCACACACTGCTACCCACCTCTTTCTGGACTCCTATCCTCGGCACTCAGGCTATGACCATGGTGTAAAGCAGGAATTTTTGTAAAGCAGAGCACTGCCAAAGTTCAAGTTCAAACTGCTTCACCGCTGAGTCTCTTTGGGTCTGCATCTCTGCAGGAAGCCTTAGACTCCATGCTATCTTGTAGCTCTAAAATTCTCAAAGTCCTGCCTCCCCCAGGAAGCCTTTCCCGATTGCTGGAGCCCAAGGCACTCTCTTGCCTGTGGGTCACCCCAGGGCAAAGATAGAGAGGCTTAATACCCTTGTTGCCCACCAGAAGATCTGCTTGGTCCTGAGCCCACATCTTGACATGCAGACACACACAACAGAGTGACCAGGATCGGGTGGAGAAAGATGCCACATGCAGGAAGGAACTGAGAGGACTTGCCGTGTCGCAGGGGAGCCATGCCTACGAGTGTTGGTGGAGGAGAATGGAAAGGATGCCTGTGCACTTCTACCCTGGGAAGCACTAACTCAGAGCAATCGAGGGGGAGAACTACCTCAAGAATAAACAAATTTCCTGTCCCCAAAGGCATCTGCATGAAAGTCATCGAGTCAAGGGTGCAGCAGAGGGAATACCAACACGAGACTACCTAAGGATGTCTTCCCACCCTGAGAAACTGTAGGTGTTAGGTATGGGATGGCCCTGGAATCTGTGGGATTGAGCTCTGACTCCCAGCCTTAAATCCAAGAACCATGTGGGTGGGGGTGGAGGCGCACCTATGCCAGCCCCAGAAACTGGCTCATACATTTAGTACGAGCGTCAGGGATATCCTGTGTCACATCCAACAGGGCCATTGTTTACATTTACTTCCTTCACTTCCTGCTCACCCCTGGGTCTGACCCCTCCTGAACTAGCCCATGGCCCATTAAGAGCTACTCAGGCATTCAGGAATGCGGCACCAGCCAGCCGAACCTTCCTTAACTCTTCTTTAACACTCTCCTTCTGAGAGCTGCAGTCCGGCCATTGGCTGTCCCCTCTCAGGCATTCTCCCTGCTGCCACAGGACATCAGGACTCCTTGCCTACCACCTCTCCTCACACATCAAATCCCTCTCACCTGCTCAAGGTCCAAAGAGTCCCTGGGAATGCTGGCTGCCTCTGGGGTGGCTCTCCTGGCTACAGCTGCATCTGGAAAAAAACAAAACAAAAAGAGAGAGAAAGCACAAGGGCAGTCCAGCAAGGAGAATTCTGGGCTGGGACAGTGACAGGGAGGTGGTCCTTGCTTTTCCTGGGTATTCACTATTGAGCATGTCTCCACAGAGGGGCTGGAGTCAGCTGTTGTAGGCATGAATCCAACGAGAACAGAGGGGAAGGTAGCATGGCTCTAAATCCCAAGTGCACACCTTTTTATCTCTTGGGAATCATTCACTGCCTAGATGGAGAAGATACAAGTTCATCTCCATTCTAGGACGGCACCTTTACAAGCCCATAGCCATCAACTCCAGGAGGGAGCCTTTGTTCTTGGAACCTGCCAGTCGCCAGTAGGGGTACCCCTCCAGAGCTGCTCAGAGTTGACCTTCCAGCCAAAAGATTTAAACGAAAGACCTGAAGGTGTACATGTGCACTCATGGTCTTCGTTCTGAAAGCCCCTCAACGCCATCAGCTCATACAGGACACAGCTCCTGGATTTTGATTCAGAGCCAAGCATGTCTCTGAGCTATGCTATGTGGCCCAGAATCTTCTCCCAGTTTGACAGGACAACTTTTGAGGTAGGAGCTGGTCAGCTACTTCTGTACCTCATAAGAGCCCAGGACTAGTAAGGCCCTCAAGGCTGGTAGCCGGCTGCTTCATTCTAGGGGAATTCTTCCTTTCAGTGTCTGACCAAGTACCACCCTGCTATTTTCTGAGCCTCCTCCTCTCCTAACCTTACATTCCAGTTGACTTCTCTTTTCCCGGTCATTAGGGACTTAAGAGGCCACATCCGGCTGCAAGGATACCACATCCTGTTCTCAGCTCAGCAGCTTCTCAATTCCCACATGTTCCCCAAGGTTGATAAAGTCACATCTATTCCACAGAGTCTTATAAGTTAGCCAAGGGCCTCCTCTGGGTGCCTGCCACACCAGATCATCATATCCTTTTATTCTGCCCTCTGGAACCTAAGACCTAATAGTTGTCTTTCATCTATCAAATGGAGATAGGTCATCTTTTCTGTCTCGGCTTCCCTGCGGGCCCTTTAAAGGTCAAACCAGCTGCCCATGAGTGTGGCCTCAGCACTTACCTGTCCTCTGGGTGATACAGGAGATGAGGTCCTGCAGGCACCACTTGAACTCCTCGAACCCGCTGGTGCGCAGCTGGACTTGCTGGTTCTGGGGCTCCTCCTGGCTCAGGTGGCAGAGGGCCTTGCGCAGAAAGCCATGCATGTCCAGCACCTCCTGGTCGGAGGCATAGAGCTTCATCTTATTGACCAGCGCGCCACCACTGCGGATGCGCTGCAGCACAGCTTCCAGGTGGCCCAGCTGACCAGCTATTTCCTGGTAGTCCCTCTGGTAGCGTGCATTCACCGCCTCAAGCAGCTGGCGCTCCTGCGCCTGCACATGCTCTACCACCTGGCGAACGCGTGCGCGGATCCGCTCCTCCGTGTCTGCGCGTGCGTGCTCCAGCTGGCCTATGGTGGTGCGCATCTGCGCGTGAGCACTGTCGAAGACCCTGTCCTGCTCCTGCAGCGCCTGCGTCATGGTGCCCAGCTCCTCATACCGCTGCTGGATCTCGTCGCCAATGTCGCACCGGAGATGGTTGTGGTCGCCATCCAGGAGGGCGCATGCGCAACACAGAGGTTTGGCACAGCCTCGGCAGTAGATGCTGCGGACACATAGGACCCACTTAGGACATGCTCTTTCTCAGTTTATGCTGTTCCCTACTCAGTGTCTGTGTTTATGGTTATGATAACGGATCTATCCATAAAATACCAGACAGTAAAAAGCTACTGCAGAGCCAGCAAGTTCGGGAAGTAAAGGCACTCGCAGCCAAGCTTGACAACCTGAGTTTGATTCCCTAGAACCTATACGGTGGAAGGAGACAACCGACTTCTGCTGTCCTCTGACCTCTACGTGCGTGCCACAGCACACGTGCACCCACACGCACACACACATTTTTTAAAAAGCTTTAAAAAGTACTACCACAGTAACAATTCCTCTACCTAGGCAGCAATTCAGACACGGACAAAAAGAAAGAACCACTCTCCGCCATTTCTCACCAACCCCTAACCCTAGCTCGGACCCTGCCCTGCCCACTCAGGCCTCAGTGGAGCAGGGTATGGTTCCTTCTTCCCACCTCTCCACGTTCAAACTCTAAAGCAGCTGAGGTGCATGTCACTCCACGTTTGCAAGCACTGACCGGGCGCTTTTATCATTCCCTTTTCACAGACGAAGAAACCAGGACTTAACAGCTAGACAGTGTGGAGGGCTAATGTTTGTTCCTAAAAAATAAAATCATACCACAATTGTACAAGTTACCTGGTAACTTCCTTCTCTAATCTTTCACTCAGGACATTCCTTTAGTACATAAGAACAAATCTAACGTATTTCTTAATAGCTCCATTATAACTACATGAACAATTGTTTAGTTCAACAGGCTCCCTTTTGACAAACACTCATGTGATTTCCTATTTGTGCATTTTCTTTCTGCCTTTCTTCTCTCTCCCTTTTATTGTTTTGACTGATGTGAACGGTGATTAAATAACATAACATCCATGTTAGGCAGCCTAATGTATGGGTGCCTTTCTCTCTATGAAATAGAGTACAAATAATAGATTGCTAGATCAAAGAATGTATCTCTCTATCTTAACATTTTATGCATGTAAAATATTAATTAATGGTAAGTATATGATGTCATAGATATTTTAATTAGTTGGATTTTTCCAGTTCTACAATGTATATCACAACATCATGGTATACGTGATATAGATAGATAGATAGATAGATAGATAGATAGATAGATAGATAGTTTTTATTAGTCAATTTAATATATAGGCTAACAGACTTTCACAGCATTTACTGTAGTCTTTCTAATTTTTGAACATGTTACAAGGTGAAGGGACTTTGATGTGTGATTAAATTAAGAATCTGGAGGTTATAGGAGTTGCAGAAACAGATCAGAAGTTTAGAGCACTTGGTGCTCTTGCCGAGGCCGCCAGATTGATTCCCAGCACCTACACGGTAGCTCACAATGTCTGTAACTCCAGTTCCAGGAGATCTGATGCTCTCTTCTTACCTCTGTGGGCCCTAAGCACACATGTAAGCATACATACATGCAGGTAAAACACATAAATAAGTAATCTTTTAAAAAGATTGTTTAAAAAGAATTTTAAGATTGAGAGATTATTCTGAGTTATCTGGGTGTTATCTCAAGAGTTGTAATAAAAGAAAGAAGGGGCCGGGCGGTGGTGGCGCACGCCTTTAATCCCAGCACTCGGGAGGCAGAGCCAGGCGGATATCTGTGAGTTCGAGGCCAGCCTGGTCTCCAAAGCGAGTTCCAGGAAAGGCGCAAAGCTACACAGAGAAACCCTGTCTCGAAAAACCAAAAAAAAAAAAAAAGAAAGAAGGGAGGCAGGAGAGTGAGAGAGGACCTGATGGGAGCAGAGGCTGGAGTCACGTCCTCCTGATGGCTTTGGAGATGGAAGGGAATAGGTGCCAAGGAATGTAGGCAGCACAGACCCATTTCAAACATCTGAAGTCCAGGGGGACAAGAAAAGGGATCTGTATTGTTATAAACCCGAGTTTGTGGTGATTTTTGTTATAGCAGCGATGGGAAATTAACATAGGAGCTAGGTAGCAGCCTCAGTCTAAGTTCTTAACCACAGTAATTGTGTGGCTTCAAAGTTACTGGGAAAGATACTTTCAGTGACTTCTCCAGAGATAGTCTGCAATTTACTCTCACCCCAGTGTTAAGAAAAAGCTCACTTGAGACCTGGGGAAAGGTCTTACCTGGGGCCACTTTGGCCTCAGTAACCAAGACCAACACGACCCGGAACTATCAACAGAATGCTGCTGGCCAGACCCTGGTCCTCTGCTTTACCAGCTCTCACCCTCCACAGACCACTCAAAGTGATGACGCCTCAGCACTCAATCAGACGCTGGAGGCAAAGGATTCCCAGAGAGCCCAGAGTGTGGGAAGAGGACAGGCCCCAAGAGTGCAGCTCTTTCTTCCATCCATGGAGTCCGATCTACAGAACAGGGTCCTGTTACCCAGAGGCAGAACCAGACTGAGATAAACAGCGGTGGAACAGAGGGGGACTGTACCTCAGGAGCACACCATTTGCAGGTCACTGACCTACCAAAGCCCCGAACTCTCCGAAAAGGCTAGGGGTAGACCCAGAATCAGGGTAACCCGTCAAGGGGCTGCCACCTAGACCCAGGAATGATCTTAGCCAGGTGGATCCTTCCCCTCATCTGAGGGACGCTCACTGGGCCTGTACTATGTGCTTGGCACCATGAAAGAGGCAGAGGTGAGATGGATGTCTACACAGGGTTCTGTGCCAAGAACTTGGTTTAGTCAAGACAGAGAGTTGTATCTCCAGAAGGGCATATGGCCAGTTACTTCCTTCCAGAATACACAAAAGAATTCACTAAAGCACTACTGAGTCAGCAAGAAATTACTCAGCAAAATGACCATATCACACCAGAATTGAAAGGGTGACAGAGAAAGGAGATGGAGAGGGAGAGGGTGGGGGGAGGGAGAGAAAGGGAGAAGGAGGGATGAGGGAGGAAGAGGGTGGGAGATCTTAATTCTATTCCATCAAAGGACATAAAAACAAATTGGGGTGGGTGGGGGTTCCACTCACAACAATAATCCAAAACTGTTATAAAATACTTAGACATACTAGCAAGAAATACACAAGATTTATTCAAAGAAAATAACAAAAACTCATTAGAAATAAGTCTAAAGAACAGAAAAGTGGGACCAGTGAGACAGCTCAGTAGGTACAGGTGAGAGCCATCCAACCTGACCACCTGAGGTGGATCCCTAGGACTCACATGGCAAAGAAAATAACCCCAGCTTCTTTGAGTTGACCTCTGACCTCCACATCTGTGCACACAGGCACAAGTACATAACCAATCAGTCAATGTCCTGGCATGGTGAACCGGAAGAAGGCACAAAGTCCAACTCCTAACCAGGAAGCTATCTGCAGCTGATAGAGTTTTCTTCAGTGAAGCGACATGGGGTGTATGAACCACACTTCAGGGCAGGCCTCGTACTCAGGAGTAGCTGGAAAACACAGATTCCATGGTTTTGCTTTTTCTGTTTGCTTTTTTTTTTTTTTTTTTAGAGAGGAGAGAGAGAGAGAGAGAGAGAGAGAGAGAGAGAGAGAGAGAGAACATGCAATTGGTTGAGTAGGGAGGAAGATCTGGGAGGAGTTGGGAAAGGGGAGAGAATATGATCAAAATATATGGTATGAAAAATTTAAAAAAAAATAGCTGGGCAGTGGTGGCACATGCCTTTAGTCCCAGCACTAGGGAGGCAGAGGCAGGCAGATCTCTGTGAGTTCGAGGACAGCCTGGTCTACAGAGCAAGATCCAGGACAGGCACCAAAACTACAAAGAAACCCTGTCTCAAAAAACCATAAAATAAATAGATAAATAAATAAATAAATAAATAAATAAATAAATAAATAAATAAATAAATAAAAATAAAGAAAATTAAAGAAATAGATAAATGTAATTTTAAAATAAAAAAATCTTAAAACCCAGAAAAGTAGATGAAGTTCCTCATTAGAAAGACTAAATATTGTAAGATTGTCCATCCTCAAGACAGCATAAATATTTTTTTTTTTTGGGGGGTTTTTCGAGACAGGGTTTCTCTGTGTAGCTTTGCGCCTTTCCTGGAACTCGCTTTGGAGACCAGGCTGGCCTCGAACTCACAGAGATCCGCCTGGCTCTGCCTCCTGAGTGCTGGGATTAAAAGCGTGCACCACCACCGCCCGGCTCAGCATAAATATTTTAAAGACATTTATATCTAATTATGAGATTTTAAAAACTTAGCCAAATGATTATAAATGTCACTTGTAGGAACCGATGAACCAAATAGCAAAGAAATGTCTGAAAAACCTGTGGAAGGAAGGCAATGGGGATTCTTCTCCGTCAGGCAGCACTTACTAAACACACCTGGAACTAGAAGAGTATGAAGAGTCAAAGGATCTGGCTTAAAACACTGGACACACCACTCATTCAGTAGGTAGTATTCATTGTGTCCTGGGTCCCCAGCTCTTCCTGACATTCTTAGGGCAGTGAATGGCACCACCATTCTCAAGCCAAACACTATGGGGTCACCAAAGATGCCTTCCTGTCCACTACTTCAACAACAGTTCACCAGTAATTCTTTAAGATTTGTTTATTTATTTTATGCATGTGAGTGCTCTAGCTGCATTATGACTTTACGCCAGAAGAGGGCAGCAGATCCCACTATAAATGGTTGTGAGCCACCGTGTGGTTGCCGGGAATTGAACTCGGGACCTTTGGAAGAGCAGCTGAGCCATCTCTCCAGTCCTCACCAGTAATTCTTATTGGCTGAGTCGACCTTCATCTACTTCAAAAAGGTTAGGAGGTCAGCTATGTGCAGCAGAGGCTAGGACAAAAAGATGCGACAGAAAAATTCTGGCTCCTCACCTGTCACGTCACTGCTAATGTCTTCATTTTTGCCGATCTGGGGCACTACCCAAAGCTTGGCCTATCTTGGTCCCCCCTACTCCAGTCAAGACTCCCCAGTGCCTCCACCCTGTAATTTCCAAAGGAGAAGCTGAGGTATGGGTGTGGAAACTGTGCCCTTTATGGTCACAACCATCTCATGTCAGTTACATGGTAATA